TTAGAAAATACAGATAAAAATACAAATATATAAAAAGAAAAATCACTTGCAAACCCACCAGCCATTACTTTAAACATTTTTCTATTTGCCCATTTAGATATAGTCTTCCTATTACATGGAATCATGTTTTTAACAAGTCTTTTTTTGTGTGGTAAAATATGCATAACGTAAGATCTACCACTCTGACCTTTTGTATGTATACAGTTCAGTGGCATTAAGTTCATTCATATTGCTGCACAACCATCACTAACATCCATCTCCAGGACTTTTTCATCTTCCCAAACTAAAACTCTGTACCCATTAAGCAGCAACTCCCCATTCCGGCCTCTTCCAGCTCCCGGCAACTACCATTCTCCTTCCTGTGTCTGTGAATTTGGTTATTCTAGGTACCTCATATAAGTGGAATCCTACAATATTTGTCACTTTTATGAATGGCTTGTTGATTCACTTAGCATAATACCTTCAAGGTTCATCCACACTGTAGCATGTGTCAAAATTTTATTCCTTTCTAAGGCTGAATAATATTCCATTGTATGTATATAACACATATTGTATATCCGATCATCCACTGATGGACATTTGGGTTGTTTCCATCTTTTGGCCATTGTAAATAATGCTGCTATAAACATTGATGTACAATATCTGTTTGAGTTCCTGTTTTCAATTCCTTTGGGTATATCCCAGAAACAGAATTGCTAGTAACAGATTCTTGTTTTTATATCAGTGAGCCATCCCCTTCATTTCTATAGGTTTGATATGATGCTAATTGATTTTGTAATTGAACTTACTGGAAAATTGATATTCCTTCTTGCATTTCACATGTTCCACCTGGGGTAAGTTTTCTATATCTTCTTGGTACACACCTTTAGAAATTTCTTTAGGAGAGATGATGTTAAACTCCGTTTTTATTTATTTGAAAATGTCTTTCTTTATAACCTTTGTTCTTGAAATAAATTTTGCCAGGCATACAGTGCTATATTTACAGATTTTTTTTCCCCTTTCCTTTAGCACTTTGAATCGTTTCAATGTCTTCTGATTTCCACTGTGGCTGTCCCGAAGTGCGCTACCGGTTTGCTTGTGTTCCTCTGTAGATGATCTGTGTTTTCTCTCTAGCCTTTGAGATTGTTTGTCTTCATTGTTCTGCAGTTTCACTGAAGTGCAGCTAGATGTGGATTTCTTTATATTTATCTTTCTTAGCATAAATTGTGCTTCCCGTATTTGTAGATTCTTGTCTTCACCAATTCTTGAAAATTTTCAGGCATTTTCTCCTCAGACATTGCCTTGTTCCCACCTTTCTTCTCTTCTTCCTCGCAGAATACAATTTCATACTTGCTATACCTCCTCATTCTTTGTCTCTTAGTTTTTCTATCTGCTTCTCTTTCTTTGCTGTATTCTGGAGAAATTCTTCAGATCCATCTTTTAGTACACCATTTCTCTCTTCAGCTGTATCTTTTGTTTAACCATGCATTGCAATTTTAATTTTAGTGGTTACATACAATTTTTTAAAATTTCTTGATATTCTATTTTTTTCCCTAAATCTACCTGGACATTTCTTATATCTCTTGCTCCTTGCTTATTTTTTTGTATTCCATCTTTTATTTCTTTAAACATTTCACAAGAGCTTCTTTAGATTCTTCATCTGGTTTTTCTTCTTTAGATTCTTCATCCAAACTCTGAAGCCCTTTAAGATCTGAACCTCTTGATCATTGCTCCTGCTGATTCTTCCTCGTGATTTGAATCCTTATATGTTTAAATATTTTTGTGAGTTTTTATTTGGCTGACTTTAGTCCAGAAGGTTGGATGGAGGATGCTTTCCTCTAAGTAGAATTCAGTTTGCTTCCTCTGGACTCCAGGGGGCATTAATAATCTAAGCTGCTTAAATTTTTCAGTTTGTGGTTTATTTGATCAAAGGGAAAATAAAAATCCCAACCATAGATCCATGTAAGAGCAGGAATCACATGAACTAGCATTTTAATTAATTCTAACATGTAGTGCTGCAGTCCAGATAGGTATCCTTGTTGGTACCCTCCACAAACAGGTGGACTTTTTCATTCCCACTAATAATGCGGTCCCTGTCAGGACCCTAATGTTGGGAAGAAAAGAGTGCCGCACATTTAGCTCTTCCATCTTCCTAGGCTCTAGGCTTACTCTCTGATTCTCCCCCAACCTCCCATATCCCTACCTGGTCCCCAGAGCTCTAGATTCTAGTTAATTGGTTTCTGTTTACTATTTACTTTCTGTTTTGTATTATTATATATTGTTCATTTTGGGGGATTCCCTTGAGAGATTACCTTTATTTTCTTGGAAGCTCACTGAGGAATTTTTTAAGATGTATGCTTGTTTTGCTTTATATAGCATGTAGATATTCTGCTATGGGAGCCTTTTGAGAACTTTGTTGTATTACTGGAAAAGAAGTTTTGAAATGGAAATGTTATTATATGGCACATATTGTTTTATAACCTGCTTCTTTTCCATTTGATATATGATAAACACCAGTCACATTAATAAGAATATGTTTAGAGCATCATTTTAATGGCTACATGATCTTCCATTCCATAGTTTATTCAATCATTTTCCTATTATTGGGTATTTAAGGTTCTGTTTTTTCACTATTCTAAACACTTCAGTGAATACCCTTTATAGCTAAATCTTTGCATATGATCTTCATTCTTTAACTTTATAAAAGAGGTACATAAAAAAATTTCCAAACACTAAGGAAAATGAAAATCCTCCTTAATCCTTTTTACCATCACCTCAAGTAATGCCATTTGGTCTATAATTGGAATCTTAATCTACATTAATGAGATTGTATAGGGCTAGATGAGATGAGATGGGAATTAGGGCTGGAATATGCAGGAAGAGAGACCACACACTCTGCCCTCCACCCCAACAACTACCGGTAGGGAACCAGAGCAGGTACTAGGGATGGGCTGAAAGTAACCAAAGACAACAGGAACAGAGAACTGAAGGGGCAAGAGACACCCACATAGATTTTAAAAGCCTAGGACAACTGGGTCAAGAGGCACCGGGCCTCAGGGAGGGTGAGAGCTCCAAAATCCAGGGATAACTCTCCCTTGCCAAACCTCTTGTGCCAGAAGTGGAGGGTCTTCTCAGATGCCCCCTACAGGCTCTCCTCCCTGCCTCTCCTTCTTTTAAAAGGGACTGGTTTATTTTGAGTCAAAAAATAGTACAAGTTCTGACACTGTCCCTGACCCTGTGCTTTATAGTAGTTTACCCCCGATACTCAGGGTCTTACACAGTTTTAAAAACTGTGTAAGTTCTCCTGCTTTTAAAGAAATCCATCCATCAAAAGGTCTTTAAACACCCTCCTAACTTCTTTCTGCCTGCTTCCCTCAAGTGGAGCCCAGGGGTTTGAGCAAAAGAGAATTGCAAAAGGAAAGGCTGCCCTCTCCAATGTCTCTCAGCTCTTGGCTAGACATTTTTGAGGACCTGCTGCACCCACCTCTGTGAGATCTCTTTAATACAGAGATACTGTATTATCTCCCTATCATCGCCATATCTGTATAATAGCCTATTTCAAATGGATTCTGCTGACTGTGCGGGTGCAAACCATAAAGAAGCCCTACCTCCTCTCTGCTCCCAGTGAGTATGGAGCTCCAGCAGGAGTGATCAGTGTCTTAAGGAAACCCCAGAAGTTTTGGTTGTTCGTTTATTAATTCAATTCAACAAGTATTAATTGGGCACCCACCATGTACTGGCTTTTAAAGGGGCTACTAAGAATTCCCTACATAGCTTCCAAACAGCATGCTCTAACTCCACCAGAATTCATGGTGTGGATCCTGGAGTTACCAGTTGCTCTAGAAACTACAGTTAATGGCTGGCCATATTTACTTCAACCAGTAGAGCCCATGGACCACTGAACAGAATGGGAAGGGCATACCAAGGCAAGCACCAGTGAGCACTGGCACAGGACCCACAAGGCTGGGTCTCCCTGTGAAGGACTGAGTGCCAAGGGCTGGCCATATCTAGTTCCCACGACCTCCAGCTATGGTCACACTTTCAGCAGTAAAATTTGGACACCTTTTATCTACTTTAATTCCTTAAGGCTCCCCAAGCTTCTGAGTTCTCAAAGGCTATCGTCCAAAGCTTCTGCTTGTTGGGAACACATCTTAACCAGGTAATTTGCATGGAGGACTTGGCATGGGGGTCAAGGGCAGGGAGACACTGAGGTGTTTTCACTGTGATGTACAATGTTAGAAGCCTGTGGCTGGGCCAACTCATTTAGCTGATCCCAGCACCCGGGAAGCCAGGAGACATCACTAACTATGGGCTTGCCCAGCAAGAGCAGCTGTCAGGGACTGGGCAGGAATACAGACAGGGGCCCCTCACTAGGCAGCTGGATGCTTCACACCTTCCTCAAATACCTTCACAAGTGGCTGAATGGTAGAGCCCTGACAACCTACAGGAAACTAGGAAAACTTGGTGGCTCAGAGCTTTGTACAGAAAACTTGGTTTCTGGGCTCTGAAATCAGTTCCATACTGGCTTGGGCAAGGTACTTAAAGTATTTGTGCCTCCATCTCCACATTCATAAAGAAGAAAAGCAGTAACTAGCCCCTTAGAGTTAACATAAGTAATACATAAGCTAATATATGTACAGAGCTGGCTTTATAGAAGTGTTAGCTATGACCTTAGGGGAGCTGTGGGAGATCTGAGCACTAGGATGATAAAATCCTCAGCACCCTGCCCTCCACCCTAGGCCTGGCCCTGGTGAGGCTGGGAATCCTGCGGGAGAAGGGAGAGACTCCACCTGTGGGAGTGGGCTGACTGTGGGCTCCCGGAAAGGGAGGACTCCTTCCGTGGCATCCCAAATGGCCAGTGACACCTAGCCTGGCTGTGGCACACAGCAGGGTGCCCAAAGAAATGAGTTAGAAGAGAGGAGCCCAGGCCTCCGTTCTGTCCTTCCCACCCCTGGGGCGGGACTGTAGAGGCGCCTGTCGAAGAAGGAAGTTGTTCCTTCTCCATTTTTTTTTTTTTGGAGGGCGACCTGGGAAGCGGAATCCCTGCCGTGGCCCAGAGATTGACCCTCTCCGACCCCCTCCCTGTCGCTGCCACAAATCGGGCTCCCAGAAGTCACTCTGGGCTCGCAACTTCCAGAAGCGCCTCACAGCTTGTTGCCGGATGTCTGGAGAAAAGTTATGGTGAGTGGAGAGTGGGATAGCGATCCGCAGGCTCCGACACACAGGGCGTCCACGGACCCGCTCAAGGAACGCCTTTGCACCTCATGCCGAGGCCGGGGGGCCGGGGACCCGCGGGGAGGCTGGGAATTGTACTGACCGGGCCGAGTCAGGGGGGTGGGGGGTGGCGGCCAGCAGCGCGGACTTGGAGCCATGGCCGGCGGGTGGACGAGGCCCCTCCCTCAGGCCCAGCGGTGCCTCAGCCTCCCTGGTGTCCATCGAGGAATTGGAGAACCCGAAGTTCGTCGGCGAAGGCGGGTTCGGCGCAGTGTTCCGAGCGCAACACAGGACCTGGGGTCACGACGTGGCAGTCAAGATCGTGAGCACGTGAGTGACCCGAACTGCAGCTGGCAGGGGTCCGCCAGCGAGGCGGGGCCTCTATGCAGCGGGGGGCCTGGATGGGAAAGGGAGGGATCTTGCTCGGAGCAGAGCGTGACTCCAACTCTCTCCTGGAGTGTAGGGAAGCGATATCCAGGGAGGTGACGGCCATGGCAGGTTTGCGTAGCCAGCACGTGCTGGTCCTGATGGGGGTCGTGGAGAAGCTGGAGTGGGAATACCTGTCGGGGCCGGCTCTGGTGACTGAATTCATGGAAAACGGTTCCCTGGAGGGGCTGCTGCAGCCCGGGTGCCCTCGGCCCTGGCCATTCCTCTGCCGCCTGCTGCGGGAGTTGGTGCTGGGGATGTGTTACCTACACAGCCAGAACCCTGTACTTCTGCACCGGGACCTCAAGCCCTCCAACGTCCTGCTGGATTCAGACCTGCATGCCAAGGTCAGCCCATGTATATGCCATTCCAGCCTCTGGACAAGGTCCTTCCCCAGAACTGCTTCAGCCCCACCCACTGGACACAGGACCTGCTGCAGCCCTGTCTACTGAATACCCTCAGCATCTCCCTCTGGAACATAGGGCTGCCCAAGTGTCAAGGCCCACCCAGGAGCTTTAGCCCCTGCCACAGCAGGTGACAGAGGCCCTGGCCAACATGGTCAGTTCCACAGGTACCCCCCCAGCAGGCCTTCCAGAGACCCGTGGCTGACCTAACCCAGGAGACTCAGACCTTGACCCAGCCCCATGGAGAGGGACCCAGGCCTCCAACCCAAGGCCCCACTGGACCTACCATTCCCCTAACCCTCCATGCACCTTTGCAAGGGGGACCTGCACCTTCTGTTGGGGAGGACGGGATTCTGGAAGTTGTCTGGTGCTGTCCATCCCACTACCTTCTCCTTCTTCTGCAGCTGGCAGATTTTGGCTTGTCCACGTTTCAGGGGGGCTCACAGTCCGTGGTAGGATCTGGGGAGTCAGGAGGCACTCCAGCCTACTTGGCCCCAGAACTTCTGGCTAATGTAAACCAGAAGGGCTCCATGGCCAGTGATGTCTATAGGTAAGGTACCTGCTCCAAACTCACATCGCAATTTCTATACCTTTCTGGGCCCTTCTAGGGAATAGAATATTAGAAAACGAGTCTTGCCAGTGGTTAGACCAGGTCTCAACTTTTTGCCTCCTTGCAGCTTTGGGATCCTAATGTGGTCAGTGCTAGCTGGAAGAGAAGCTAAGAGTAAGACTTTGGGCAGACACTGGGACCTTTACCCCAGGTGCCCTCCTCCCACAAGCCCCAAGCCCTCCTCTTCCTACTTACCTGCTCAGACTACCCTCCTCCCTCCTCACCTCCCACTGGAGTACACTCTGCTGACCTTCTCCAGGATGGAGCAGGTGGCCCTTCATACCTGAATGCTTTCTCTTCACGCTCCCCACCCCCATCCCAGTAGTGGCCCAGACATCACTGGCACAGGAAGCAGTGTGTGAGAGGCAGACCCGGCCCCCATTGACTGAGCTGCCCCAGCCTGGGCCTGAAACTCCTGCTTTGGAAGGACTGATTGAGTTAATGCAGCTCTGCTGGAGCCATGAGCCCAAGGACAGGCCCTCCTTCCAAGGTGAATTGGCTATTTAGCTAACAGCTGGGGTAGGTGTGGATCTGTCAGCAGGAGGCTTTTCCCTGGGAAAAGAAGTTTTGTTCACCTGCCACCTATCCTGCCTCCTCTCCAGAGTGCCGACTAAACACCAACGAAGCCTTCCATCTGGTAAAGGAGGAGGCAGATGCTGCAGTCACCTTGGTGATTGTCCAACACCATTTCCCATCCAGGAGTTGGACAGGATGGCACAACATGGTTCCCTTGGCCACCCAGTGACTCCCCACTGCCACTGTTCTTTATGATGAGACCCTCATCCCTACTTTCTCCACCCCACCCCTGAGTTCCCTGGCAGCAGATTATGGATCAAGAGACTCGTCTCTTGGGCTTATTCTGCCTCTCCCACCTCCAGCTCCCCCTGTCCTTGCAGGTAAAGAACTTCCTGTCTAAGCACAGAGGCACCAACAGGACATTATCTGCCCTAGAGCCCAGCCCAGGAGAGATAGAAACAGATAGTCCCATTGCAACCACAGGAAGCCATGATTCCATGGTCTCTGGGATGAACAACCTAAATCTGAAAGAACTCCCCAACTCTGTTCCTGAAAAATGTGCAAACCTTCCTGAGAGGATCAGAGCACACAGAGAAAAGGTAAAGCAGGCCCAGAAAGCAGGGACACCTTCAGAATCAACACTCCGACCTCCCCAAACTCCAGAGACCTCACCTTTCAGAAACCAGAAGGCTGGCCCCAACTCAGCTTGGTTCCCAGGTCCTAGACCCCAAAGGAATCAGGTGAGACATTGGGACATTGGCAGGACTAGGGGTCCACCAGACTCCTGTGATTCCTGTCCCCTCTCCAGGGAAAACTGGTACTGAGGGGGTATGCACTGAAGGGACAGGCCCCAGGACAGGGAGCATGAGAGCAATGTGTTGTTTGCAGGGGACTGAGAGGTGTGGCACCACCAGGCCTCCCAGGGCGCTGGGGCCAAACCCGATGCCAGGTACCCACTCCCCACTACTTTCTTTCCCCTGTGCAAATCTTGTACCAGCCTCTTCCTCAGGACCATATATAGATCCAGGGTCCTCTGGGGAAGGCAGGAGAGAAAGGGCTAGCTGCCATCTACCCCAACCTTCTCATTTCAAAAATAAACTGATACCAACTGGGACTGGATCCCACCGAGGTCACACAGCAAAGACTGGATTTACCCCTGGGTCTTCTGACTTTCCCCAGCACCAGCTCTGTAAAACCCTAAATTCTGTTGTCACTATGTTAGTCCCAGCAGAAATGACCTAAATATCAGGGTCTCAGACTTAGCTGTCATTCCTCTTAAGCTTCTGCCGACCCAGTTCTGAAGCAGCAGCCTGAAGAACAAGGCCAAAAGCCGTCCTTGACACAGGCACTGGCAGGCCCGGAGACAGGTACTCGCATTTCCCCTGGGGGTGAACATGAGGTCCTGCTGACCCTCTGCCTCTTCTCCTGAGTTTCTGCTACTTAACCTCTCACCATCACTATTTCTCTTAAAGGACCTCCATCTCTTATGATACATGACAGCCAAGGGGTGCAGATTGGAAACAGCAACTACTTGGTTATACAGGGCCTGACACCATGGGGCATGGATTGGAATCAGCAGCATCATGCACCCCAATGAGTAGGATTGGAAGAAGGGCTCCATGAGCCTGAAGCCTGGAGTGGGCCGAAAGGCTGGTATAATAGTAATAAAAATTGAAGCAGCTTCTAAGCTGTCTCCTGGACTTGGGGCACCAAGACTTTCTTTGAGGGCACTCCAGCCTGCACACAACCTGAGTTTGTGTCCCCAAAGAGTTAATAAATGTGGAATTTTAAGCAAAGCGCTGCTCTGGAGGATGAGGCTTCAGCCAGGGAAGGGGAGGGACATGTCTGGGAGACCATCAGGGAGGTGACATCAGGGAGGAGGCCCTGCAGTTTCTCTGAGGCCGGAAGCGGGATGCTGAGGGCTGGCAGCAGGCAGTGCTGCTGTGGCACAGGAGGTCAGCGCCCAGCCGGTGGCAGGAAGGAATCCGGAGGCCTCATCCCTGGGGCAGCTCTAATCAAGGCTGAACCCTTTTTCTAGAGCAGGCAGAGACCCCACCCTAAACAGAAACTCAGGATAGAGTGGTCTCACTGCCCCCCTTTTCTTCTGGGTTAAGGAGACTTAGCAGTGAGGCCCTGGGAAGGTGGCTCTCCATGGAAATTAGCAGCCCCCAGCACCTCTCTTGCCCTACACGATGCCCAACGTCCATCCCGTGGTCACCCTCCATCTATCAGCTCCCTCCACCACAAGTGCTCACACATTGTTTCCAAAGGTCAGAGCCCTCTGATTCTCTGCTGTGTGCTGGGAGAGGAGATCTAGGGCTCCACAAGGCTGCACACAGGTGTGCCCCTCCCACGGGGCTGGACACTGAGGGACCTGAAGAGCCCAGACTCAGGCATGGCAGCTGCCAGTCAGGCAGGGGAGGGGAATGAGTGTGGCCTCCCCATTCCGACCTTATCCTTGCTCCCATCAGGCACCACTTTCTCCCCTACATTCTCATCAGCCTTTACTGCAGCTTTGTTTTAGTCTTTGCACATCCAAATGTTACACCCCCACTTTGACACTTGCCACTCAGCCTGGCTCACCCCTTGCCTTTGCCTGCACCCCGCAGTCTGCATTCCCCTTCCTAAAGGAGACTGAAGGTGAAGGTGATGGTGTTAGGAGAGACACTCAGAGGGGGAGGAGGTCTGTGGAGTCTGGCTCCACAAGGAAAGGGCCGGGCTGTCCCATCCGGGAAGTGGGAGGGGGCTGCGGTGCCAGGAGGGAAGCGCCTGTCGCCCGGAGTTCTGAGCCACTACCTCAGCAGCCAGCTTGACTCTGCGACCAGTCCCTTGGCTCCCTCTCCAGGCTAGCCATTCAACGGCGGCGGCAGCTTCACGGGCAGTGAGTTCAGGGGCATGGGGGAAACCCGAGGTACCTTTGCTTCAACCCCAAATCCTGCTCCCCTGGCAATGAGGCTATTGCTAGGGAACCTCGGCCACAGTCTGGGTTTGAGGGAAGAGGAGCTAAGGATTGGGCAGCCCCTTCACTACCAACTGGGAGAATCCTGGGAGGCCACAGGGAGTGCCTGGAAGGAGACAGGATTGCCTCGAGTCTGGGGGTGCAGAAAGTGGTTTGGACCAGGTGAGAAGGGCACCTTTGGGGCAGGCTGGGGCTGCAATAAGTAACCCAGCTCCTGGCCCTCCTCAGCTCCGGGGCTCTCCCAGAGCAGCCGAAGTGAGGGGCAGAAGAGACCATGGCCCGCCTCTGCAGCCCCCGGCAGCCCCCCAGCGAAGACCTCTTCTACGAGACCTACTACAGCCTGAGCCAGCAGTACCCGCTATTGCTCCTGCTCCTGGTGATTGTGCTGTGCACGCTCCTGGCACTCCTAGCTGTGGCCTGGGCAAGCGGCAGGGTGAGCAGGGCCCGTGGTGCCAAATGCCTCCTCAGGGGCAGCCAGAGGGTCACCAACTAGTGGGCATCTTCAGAGTTGGAACTTGTGAAGTCTTACTTTCATTGTGTTGCTTTGCTGGGGCCCAGGAAAGAAGCGCTGAACCTTGCTAGGAACTGTAGTGACCCTGAACGAGTCACACCACCTCTCAGAGCCACAGTCTCTGCGTTGACACACGGAGATAGCTTGCCCTGGATGCTTCTCATTTCTCTCAGGGTACTGACAGACCTTAGGAGCAGCTTCTGTGTTCTACTGGTTCTAGAATAAATCCAACACCAGATTTTCCATTTTCCATGGGGGAAGTTACAGTGGGTCAGGTGGAAATTTGTTTCCTGGTTTTCTTTCCCTCTTAGGAGCTGTGGGGCAGTTGTACCCACAGGCTCCCAGAAGGCACCCTGCAGCCCACTCTCATTTAGTCCAAAAACAAACCTATTTCCAAGTTTCCTTTTTGGGAAGAAAGGGGATCTTCAATTCCATTTCTGGAAATATCTTGTTCCAATTTCCTTTTCACACTTCGGAGCAAGGTGGAAAAATCACTGGACGCGACCAGTCCTTGCTGGTCCACCTAGAAGTCCAGGAAGAGGTGGAGACAAAGGGCGGGGACAGCGGCAGAGGTCTGGGGCCGCACTTACACACTCAGGGCCGCTGGCTAGGGCATAGTCGGCTGGCAGTGAGGGAGGTTCAGGGCGCCTCCTGCCGCCAGAGCTCTGCTTCGCAGTCCCCACCCGCCACTCCCGAAACTCTGAACCTTCTGCCCAGGGTAGGGAATCTCAGCAAATTGGCCAGATTTCTATACATTCATTCTCAAGTGACTTCTGTGAGCTAGGATTTTTTGCTTGCTTAGAGTTCCAGGCTGGTGTTATGATTCCTATTTGACAGATGAGAATTACAGACTCAGAAAGGTCATGGATTCACAAATGGCTGATATGGGGTTAGAGCCAGGTCTTCTGGGTAGACGGCTCAAGGGTTAGCCTCCGCTGCAGCATGCAAGTGAGATACTAGGTTGAAACATATGAGGTTGCTAGCCTTATAGATTAAAAACAGATGATCTTCAATTTCATATGGTTCAACCTAATATGAATAGCAAGCGGAGGTGCCCAGCCTCCTTTTCGTACTTGGGTTTGAGACACTTCTCAGAACTGGCCTGAGGAGCTGCCCCTTATTTCTCAGTTTGGAGGAGCTCCCCGAACTTCACACCCCAATCTTGCCAAAGGTGCCTACTCCCCACAGGAGCTGGCCTCAGACCCGGGCTTCCTGACCACTGTGCTGTGCGCACTGGGCGGCTTCTCGCTCCTTCTGGGCCTGGCTTCCCGCGAGCAGCGACTGCAGCTCTGGACGCGTCCCCTGTCGGGCCTTGTGTGGGCAGCGCTGCTTGCGCTGGGCCACGGCTTCCTATTCACCGGGGGCCTAGTGAGCGCCTGGGACCAGGTGAGAGGCGCAGCAGATGGAACATGGCAAAAGGGGACGCCCACGCCACAAGCAGCGCAACAGCCTGCAGCTTCCTACACGCTTCTCCCCCAGGTGTCTTTTTTTCTATTTGTCATCTTCACCGTGTACGCCATGTTGCCCTTGGGCATGCGGGACGCTGCCGCCGCGGGCCTGGCCTCTTCGCTCTCGCACCTGCTGGTCCTCGGGCTGTATCTTGGGCCTCAGCCGGACTCACGGCCGGCGCTGCTGCCACAGGTGAGCACGCGCCATAGAGCAGGCTGTGCCCAGGGCTGCCTCCGCTGAGTGCTACTTGGTTCATCTGGGCATTCATCAACAGTTCGCTGGGCCGTGACTCCGGGGTAGGGCTCCGTGCTGGGCGCGGGGTGCAAATACAGATAGACCCTGACCGGACCCTCCTAGAGTTAGGACACCAGTGCAGGGTGATACCTGCAGACGCCAGAAAAGGACTCTGGGCCCACGGGGAAGGGAGCCCACCATGGGGACCAGGATGGTGGGGAACCTTCACAGAAAAGGTAAAAATTGGAATTCGCGTAGCTCTGTGTTGCGGTAGGAGTAGGGATGTGGATGACGGAGTGGTATTACAGGCAAAATAAAGGTATGTGCAGTTTTCTAGGCCGTGTTCGCGCGACATCCAAGAGTATGGAACAGGGAGAGTGAGAGAGGAAAAGAGACCCCTATGGGTCCCACAGTGTGGTACCGATTGCCTTGATATGCTAGGTCTCTAATTATAGAGCCCCCCCCCCCCCAGCAGCTCTCTTGGAGACCAACTCCAGCTGCGCGCACAGCCACCCCCATTCCCACCCCCGAGTCCGGTGCCTTCTGAGCCTGACCTCACCAACAGCTGGCAGCAAACGCGGTGCTGTTCCTGTGCGGGAACGTGGCGGGCGCGTACCACAAGGCGCTGATGGAGCGCGCGTTGCGCGCCACATTCCGTGAGGCGCTCAGTTCCCTGCACTCGCGCCGGAGGCTGGACACGGAGAAGAAGCACCAGGTCTGCTGGGTCTGGGAGGCTGGGCGCGGCCAGGGCTCGGAGAGAGCAGGTGTTTAAATCACACAAGCGGGCTCCTTTACAAGCTGAATGACTTTGAGCAGGCCTCTCCACCTATTTCCTCGTAAAATGTGGCTATGGCCCATCTTGGAAGGTTGTTGTGAGCTCAAACAAACTGAAGCTTGTGCAAGCACTCTAGAATGTTATGATACTAAACCAAGAACTCTAATTCTGGCATTGGTGCTGGAAGTTCAGTCTCTAACGGTGTTCAGTGCAGGATGGGGTGCTGGATGTTGGCTGTATGTAGTGGGGTGGAACTGTGGGAGTACCCTGAGGAACACCCAGTGGGGCCAGGGAACTGTGTGGGTTCCTAGGTGGTTTGGGGGGCTGAGACTCCTGGTTTTAGGATGCAGGAGGGTCGGTGCTCATAGTGACCTCCCCCAGGAACACCTTCTCTTGTCTATCCTTCCTGCCTACCTGGCCCGAGAGATGAAGGCAGAAATCATGGCACGGCTGCAGGCTGGACAAGGTTCACGACCAGAGAGCACCAATAACTTCCACAGCCTTTATGTCAAGAGACACCAGGGAGTCAGGTATGAGAAAGGTGGCTGGAGGGGAGGGGGCCATAGGCTGAGACCCTAGCCCCACTGATGCAATCTGTCCTGCCCAGCGTGCTATATGCTGACATCGTGGGCTTCACACGGCTGGCCAGTGAGTGTTCCCCTAAGGAGTTGGTGCTCATGCTCAACGAGCTCTTTGGCAAGTTCGACCAGATTGCCAAGGTCAGAAGGGGTCTTCCTCCCTATCCAGGGACCTTCAAATCTCCATCCTGGAGAGCCCCTTCCAAGGGAAACCCCTGCCCTCTAAGATCCCAGTCTCACTTCAGAGCCCATGTGGACTTCCAGATACTGCAGTGGAAGAAGGAAACCCTCTCAGACATGCTGTTAAGGAGCTGCTCATCACACACCTCAAGCCTGGAGAAACCTCTTAACATCTCCACAAATGCCCCTACCCCAGCACCCCCAAATATGCTCAGAGCCCCTACATAGATGTCTCTGGACACCACAACCAAACCTAGACAGATTTTCAAATGCTTAACCTTAGGAGCAGCTTCTAAGGGAAATCCCTGCCCTATGCCACCTCAGCCCAGCCACCAGCTCAGACCCCAGGGTTGCCCCCCAAGCAACCTAATCTTGGGTCTCCCCCAGAAAATCTCAGTCCCAAGGTTACTTTCATATGCCCAAATCTGGATATACCTTTCATGTGTCAAAGCTCAGGAGAGCCAGAGACATCCCAACCCTGAGGAAACCCTTCTGAGAAAGATATCTGCATGGGAGCCCGCAGCCAGACTTGTGTGAAATTAAGGGAGTGCCTAGATCAGACCTAGACACTCCCACTTTTCCCAGCTCCTTTCTGTCTCTGGCCTCTAACCAGGTGCCTCCCTCCCCCCTGCACGTACCCATTTCCAGGAGCATGAATGCATGCGGATCAAGATCCTGGGCGACTGTTACTACTGTGTCTCTGGGCTGCCGCTCTCGCTGCCAGACCACGCCATCAACTGTGTGCGCATGGGGCTGGACATGTGCCGGGCCATCAGGTCAGCTCAAGTGGGTGAGCAGGACTACCTCCGGGTGGATATGGGAGAGATACAGGTAGGTAGTGGAGTCCTCCCTGGGGTCGCGGGTGGTGTGGGTAGGGCTGAAGGCAGCATTTAGACTGTCTCACACACACCCTGCTCAGGAAACTTCGGGCAGCCACTGGCGTGGACGTCAACATGCGTGTGGGCGTGCACTCGGGCAGTGTGCTCTGCGGAGTCATTGGGCTGCAGAAGTGGCAGTATGATGTCTGGTCTCATGATGTCACACTGGCCAACCACATGGAGGCAGGAGGCGTACCAGGGTGAGATGTGGGGCTGCAGGAAGCTACAGCAAGAAGGCAACCAGGCATCTTACATCCTGTCACCCTTTTCATAGTTCCCTAAAATGAGCACAGTTCCATGTGAGACTCAGGTTGATTCTGGGGAGTGGGGAGGAAAGCTGACAGGCACTTCCTCTAGCACAGGGCCTTGCTTGAAGTTAGACCTCCAGAAAGATCCTTGAAAGAAATGAGGGGATTGGTGGTTCTTCCCCCTAACTTACCTGTCCCCTGTTTCCAGACGAGTACATATTACAGGGGCTACCCTGGCCCTGCTGGCAGGGGCTTATGCTGTGGAGGATGCAGCTGTGGAGCACCGGGACCCATACCTTCGGGAGCTGGGGGAGCCTACCTACCTGGTCATTGATCCCCGGGTAAAAAAGCCCAGACTGGACCCCATGGGCTGGCCTACCCCAACCACCCACAGTAGACAGGCCTGATCTTTTCTCCCATACCAGCAACTGAGTTCCTGGTCCTAGTGTGTGCATTGAGGGAGGGGGACACAAGCCTCTAATGGGCATGGGAAGAATGTGAGAGTGTGATCTTGACTCTCAGCCTGCATATGCCCCAGGCTGAGGAGGAGGATGAGATGGGTGCTGCAGGAGGGTTGCTGTCCTCTCTTGAGGGCCCCAAGATGCGTCCATCACTGCTGATGACCCGCTACCTGGAGTCCTGGGGTGCAGCCAAGCCTTTTGCCCACCTGAGCCACATAGAGAGCCCTGTGTCCACATCCACCCCTCTTCCGGTATGTGCACCTCCTTCAGGAGCCCCAGCACTCACATAAAGTAAACCCATCCCCACTGCCCAGTCTCAGCCTCCCCACCACCAGCAAGTCATTTGGTGACAGCACAAGGTTCTGAACTGCCTGGTCATCCCCATCACTGGTTCAGGCCCTTCCTCACTCTTCTGTCTGGGCAGAAAAATCTCTGCCCACTGAGCCCACCTCAAAAAAAGACACAAGATCCCATCAACACCCTGTCCATTGCTCCCCAGCCCCCACTCAAGAAGCCCTTTCCCTGGTGCCACAAATGTATAGACCACACTTCCTCTTGACTCCTAGGTCAGGGCTTATACCCACTCTCACCAGAAAATGTTTGTTTAACACAATTCCTGGGACTGCCTACCTCCTTCTGTCCCCACCAGGACTGGGAAGGTGGGCAAATCATCTGTTGCCCCTATTCTCTAGCACTTGTCCACAGATAAAATGGGGTAACAATGAAAAATCTCACATGACCTTGAAGTAAGTCACCATGAATAGCTAGGGGTGGGGGAGGGAGGAGAGGGAGGGGAGGGAGCAGGCTCACCCCTTGTCTAGGGGAAGCTAGGGCACCACTGATTACTGGCTGATCCTATGCCTACCACCGGCAGGTAATCAGTGACCCACCAGCTGCTGTAGGAGCCTGGATCTTCCCAACCAGATGGCTCTTGGGGTTGGTGCTTGGTGACAGGCAGCCAGAACCCCCTCAGGCAGGGACCCAGGCCATGTCCACAGAGGTTTGGAATACATTCCTCAGTCTGCTCTCCTCCATTTTACCTGATCTTCCCAAAACCTGTTGGGCATTCCCAGCCTTTCTGCAGGTCTTTCCAGAATCTTCTCTGCTGAGTAGGCCTGACTGGATTCAGGGGATGACTCCAGAGTACCCTTTCTGGGTCCCATGCCCCCTCCTTGCCCATCCAGCAGGAAAGCAGGCAGAAACCAGTGAACACTGGGGAGTGGGGGGACACTGGCAGCAGTGGTTCAGGCGAGTACTTCATTCCAAGCCTCAATGTGGTGTAGGCGAGAGGTCGGAAGGGTTACTCTGGCAGGAGGTAAAGGAAGAATCTAAAACCCAGCTGACTGGGGCAGGTGGGGCCTCTGGGGTGGAGTGGAGGGCTGGGCTTGCTGGGAGCCCAGGGACCGTCTTGCTCACCACACAATCCCTGTGTGGCAGTGCCCCCAGAGCCCATGCCAGACCTCCCCAGCCCTGCACTGGTGTGCAGGCTAAGAACTGTCAGGGAGGAGGAGTAGGAACCCCTTGTTCAAGGGTATCTCCTAAGGCAGGACTTCACCAGCCCAGAAATTCACTTCTCAGTCCCCCTGATGTTCCAGGGCTTCAGTCAATTGTTAGAAATCCTGAGAGTCACAACTGGCTTACTCTTAAACAATGGGGGGCTTTGGGGTGGTAGGGCAGTGTTTGTGCTGGTATACACCATTCATCCATTCATTCCTTCCACAGTTTGGGGGCACCTACTATGTGCCAGACACTAGGCTAGTTCTTGAGAAGACAGAAGTGAATAAGATGTTTTCCCTGCCTTCAAATAACTTACATGCATTGGTGAAAAAGCGGGTACATAGTTTGATAGGCTCAGCTATAGATGCACACAGATTGGCCCATACCTAGAACATACCTCTCCATCTCCACCCAGACACCAGGTTTTGGCTTGGGTGAGGATGTGGCCTCTTGTGGCGCTGCTCCCGTCACACGAGCCAAGAGAGAGGGAAGAACAGTCACCATCCCTGTTGCCCTGGGCAGTGACTGCAGTGCTTCACCCTCTTCCTCGGCACTGTCCTCACACACTTAACTTGTCTGTTCATCTTCATATCTTTGCACATACCACACATTCTTTTTATCAGAAGAGAATGACAGTAACCAGGTTTGTTTCTCTTCCTCTTTCCCTTTCTTCTCTCTCTCCCTCTTTTCTTCTTCTTCTTCTGCCTCCACTACCCCCAGCTACGCCCAAGCATCACAAAAAAGTCAGAAGGGAGCCAGACTGTTCTGCATTGTCACTCTGATTTAAGCCAAAAGGGATATATATTTTTTTGGCATCCTGGCATGATGATAAGTTCCCTGCTTTAGGGAAGATAGACACAAGGAATCAACAGCCTCTCATACCTATAGAAGATACAGGGTCATCTCATAAGTGATAGAAACTAAGAAGAAATTAGAGACTGTAAAGAGTCAGGAGGAAACTTTAAGGAGTATGTGGTTTGACCTGACCCTTAAGGGCAGAGACAATCCAAGTCCACTCACCATCTCCCCATCTTCCCCACTCCTGTGTTCTCTCATCAGGAGAAGGCCCTGGCTTCCTTCAGCCCCCAGTGGAGCCTGGACCGGTGAGGAAGCCTGAGCAGCTTTGACAGTGGGGCTCCCTCGGGGGCTGCTCCTGCTTCACCCAAATCCTTTTGAGGGTCTCCATGGTGATAGGCCGGATTCTCACTGTGCAGGAGCCGTACTCGACTAGATGATGACCTGGACACTGGGGATGCCAAGTTCTTCCAGGTCATTGAACAGCTCAACTCTCAGAAGTATGAAGAAAGAGGGAAAAGGGCTGGGGGTGTGCGTGGTGGGGAGGGAGGCCCTTGGCTGCTGTGGTAGAGGAGGGATGGCGCTCTGTGATGACCTAGAGGAGAGGGAGGGGCTTCCTTGCTCCAGCCCTGGGAAATACACCTGACCACCCACTCCTGCCCTGCTCTTTCCTCTCCGGGGATCATTGCCCCCACCTCCCACCAGACAGTGGAAGCAGTCGAAGGATTTCAACCCACTGACACTGTACTTCAGAGAGAAGGAGATGGAGAAAGAGGTGGGCTGGTGGGGGGCAGGGAAGTTGGCACCAGAGCATCTCCCTGCCTTAGTTCTTTGGCCCTGGGGAGGAGCTAAGTCCAGTGGCCCCACCTCCCCTCCCCAGGTCTGCTCAGTTTGTGATCCTGGGGGAGAGAGGCTTGTGCCTCTCTCTAAAAGGAAAATCACCCTATGGACTGAAGTACTGAGTGGTGATGCGGGGAGGAGGACAGGTCCTTGCAGAACCGTAGGGGTACCTGGGACTGAACTGAAGGGTGGAGCAGTAAGGCTGGGGGACCACTCTTTGCCTGGGATTGACACCTTCAAGGTGGCAGACAGCATTGTCTCCACCCCTCCCTTCCCCTCCAGTATCGACTCTCTGCACTCCCTGCCTTCAAATACTACACAGCCTGCACCTTCCTGGTTTTTCTCTCCAACTTTGTCATCCAGATGCTGGTGACAAACAGGTGAGAGCCCCAGGCAACAGAGACCCTGATTCCCACACACGTATGATATTCTGATATTCTGGCTCTTCCCGTTCCCTAACACACACTCCTTTCACCCACTTCCCCTTGGCTTCAAGCACTGCCTCACAGAGGAAATGTGTGTTCTGGGGAACCAGTGATGATTACAGCCCTCATTTTACTGTTGTACATCTTGTGGGCTTTCTACATAACGCAAGCACATTCACAGACCCATTCACATACTCTTTCCAACAACATTCCCGTGAAGGAGGTTTTATTCCCATTGAGAAGCTCAAATCGCACAGCAAACGAATTTGGAAAGTAGGTCCTCACTCCTAGTCCATGGCTAGCAGGGGCAGCAGGCAAATGTTCAAACCCCAGGCAGGTGGAAGAGCTCTGGCGGCCTGATGCAGCCAACCACCACCCCCACACTCCTGTGAGCCCCCTGCCCCCTCCCAGTATTGTCCCTACCTTATTAGTTCCTGTCCCACCCCAACAGTGACCTAAGCCCCTCAGCTTTCCCAAATTATCAGCATGCAATGTCTTTCATTAGCCCAGACCTTATCAGCAGCCAGTTCAGATCCCCAGGACCACGTCCGCCCACATTCCCAACCAGATCGCACAGCACCCTCCCAGCACACAGAGCCTATTTGGCTCTTCAAGACCTGCTCTTGTCTCCCTTTAGGCCCCCAGCTCTGGCCATCACCTATAGCATCACCTTCCTCCTCTTCCTCCTCCTCCTCCTCGTCTGCTTCTCAGAGCACCTGATGGTGAGGTGGGCTGGGGGGTGGAAGTGGCAAGCTGTAGCCCTGGCCCCGATCTGGCCTGAAGTGGGCGTCCCAGCCCCATGGCTGACTCCCATGCTCCTTCCACAGAGGTGTGTTTTGAAAGGCCCCAAGATGTTACACTGGCTGTCTGCACTGTCTGGCTTGGTAGCCACACGACCCGGACTGCGAGTCGCCCTGGGCACCGCCACCATCCTCCTCGTTTTCGCCATGGCCATTACCAGCCTGGTGAGGGCAGAGGGGGCCCTATGCATCCCCATAAGGTCATGCTGGACCTGCCAGAGGTGGCTAAAAGGGGACCCCTGAATTTGGGGGGCAGCGGCAGAAAGGCCAGGGGATGCTGGAAATGTTGGACAAGCATAAAAGAAAAAATTACAGTCACCCAGTCTCCCACCTGGGCATAGGCATTGTTAATACACTTTGGTGGACATCTTTCCTATCTTTTTCTATGTAGACAGATCTTCATTACTTAGTTCACTCACTATGAGTTTGTACCTGAGTTTGGCTGATTTTCCAGAATTTAGAATCATTCCTAGAATTCTTTCCCTGAAAGGCACTTTAGGAATCATCCCCAGCCAAGTAACAGAGGAGGAGGCTGAGGTCTGGAGAGGTTAAGTGGCTGGCAACAGATCACACAGCAGATCTGTGGCAGACTATTGCCTATGGCACCCACTCCCCCACCCCCAGTACCCCTCAAGGACCCTAGTATTGAGGCTCCCTTACCAACCAGAAAGACCCCTGTGGAGTTTTGCCTTGAGCCATCCCTGGGCCAGCTGAAGCCCCACACAAACCACCACGTGCCCAAGGAGCTGCCTGCCCACTTCAGCTCCTCATCTCCCTCTGCAGTTCTTCTCACCAGCAGCATCGAACTGCCCTTTCCAGGCCCCCAATGTGTCCTCCATAGCGTGCAACCTCTCCTGGGAGCTTCCTGGATCCCTGCCTCTCGTCAGCATCCCAGTGAGTGCTCCTACTGCCCTGAATCTCCTTCTCCGGATCCTTCCTTGGTCTCTTCCCTGACTCCACAATCCAGAACCTGGGCCCTGGGAGGGGCAGGACAGGGGCCCTGGGGTGTCCCTGAGCCCTGCCTGTGGAACCTGAGTCCTGAGCCTGCCTGGCCCGGCCCCCTAGTACTCCATGCATTGCTGCGTGCTGGGCTTCCTCTCCTGCTCCCTCTTCCTGCACATGAGCTTCGAGCTGAAACTGACGCTGCTCCTGCTGTGGCTGGCGGCCTCCTGCTCCCTCTTCCTGCACTCCCATGCCTGGCTGTCCGACTGCCTCGTCGCCCGCCTCTATCTGAGCCCCCTGGACTCCAGGTGCGCACGGCCACTGGACAGAGGCGTCCAGGCTCTCTGGGATTATATTGAAACAGGACGGAGCAGGGCTGTCCTGAACCACACACAGGGCGACGATAGAGAGAGGGGAGGGCTACAGAGGCACTGGGGCAGGGAGGAGGCCATTGGAGCAGGAGAGAGGCAGGGAAGGGACAGGGCAAGGAACAACCTGATCTGTGGCCTCTTCAGGCCAGGGGTGCTGAAGGAACCCAAACTGATGGGAGCTATCTCCTTCTTCATCTTCTTCTTCACCCTCCTTGTCCTGGCTCGGCAGGTAAGTCACCCAGCTCAGTCCTCCAGGGCCTCCCTATGTAGGGTAAGGTGGGGGGCCCCATATTGGTGACTTGGTCTCTCCCACCCTTTCCCTTAATCTTACATCTCCAGGACTGAGCCAAATTGTGTGCTCATTGGAGGCTTCTAGGTGAACCTTCCTGCTCCCTTTCTTTCTCCTTCATTTCTCAAGGGGAATGCCTTCAAGTTCTCCCCTCCATTCCTCCCTCCCACTCCCAACTAGGAAAACCACACTTCAGAAAAAATATGCTGCCAGTTCTGTCCACCCTAGATTAAATATAGTTTCAAAGTGGTTTCCCCAGAAATAGTCCTTAGGCCTTTTCTCTAACCTGGGGGCAGTATGGTTTTAGGCACCATTGAGTGAGGGGTAAACACTCGAGAGCTGGGCTTCCCCTGCACTCTGCTCCCCATGCCCGCCCTCCCACCCCCTGTGACTCTCCCCAGAATGAGTATTACTGCCGCCTGGACTTCCTGTGGAAGAAGAAGCTGAGGCAGGAGCAGGAGGAGACAGAGACGATGGAGAACCTGACTCGGCTGCTCTTGGAGAACGTGCTCCCTGCCCATGTGGCCCCCCAGTTCATTGGCCAGAACCGGCGCAATGAGGTGACACCTCACCCTTGACTCCTGAGTCCCAGGACCCATAGGGACTAACGTTGGATGGAAGTCTTGGCCCTTAGCCCATCCTTTCTGGATGCCCCCTCAATGGGTGGAGTGACCACCCAAGCCTCTGTCCCTGTCAGGTGCCTCTGCTTTCACAAGATCTTAGGCTCTGTCTTTGGTAAGCATAGAATCTCTGCTTTCCGGCTCTTGGAAGGAGTGTCCTCTCCAAATCATGGTGACTCCATACCTTTCAGAAGCTTCAAGTATTGATGGGAGTTGTGTGAGGACACAGTCCACGCATCTCTTGAGACCTGCTCTATCCAGTATCATGGCCGTTAGCCATGAGTGGCCATTTAAATTTATATTTAAATTTATTAAGATAGAAAATTCATTTCCTCATTTGCACTGGCCACATTTCAAGTGTTCAACAGCTGTTTGTGGCTAGTGGCACCATATCAGACAACACATACACAAAACATTTCCATCGCCACAGAAACTTCTATTGGATGCTGCTGCTCTAGATCCTCAAACACCTTGCTATAGTCACATGATCAGAAGATCACCACATATTTGTACCACCACCTCACCCCATCTGCTGTAGACATGTTCTTGGCCTATATTGAGGGGTGTTAATTGAAACAGTTCAGGGGAATTTCACAGCCTTATGTCCCCACCTCACCTGCTCTTTGCTCTCAAGATCAGAAGTAGCTCTACTTCCCCTGCTTTTTTCTCTTAACGGATGCTGGGAATCTTGTAGTTGACCCTCTTTCTGTCTTCACATTGGCTACTAGACAGCTCAGAGCCAGAATCTAAGACTAACAAGACTTTGTGGCCCCCATCTTGTGAACCAACCTCAGATCTGATTCCATCTTTACCATCTTACCCTTATTTTCCCTTTGCCCCATTTTCCAGTATTGCACTATTTTATCTTCCAAAGTGTACCAATATTTGTAAGCTGACTTAACTGACTTAACATCTTTCAGCAACAAGATAGGATATAAAGGTAATTCCCATGGACATGATCCTAGTTCTAGAAGAGATTCCCTTCATGTTGCTGTGAGGTAATCTTGTCCCCAAATTTCTGTCTCTCCTGGAACCACAGTGAGACCCAATCTTTGACTCCTGAGCCACATCCCCTGGGTAACCTAGCCCTACCACTTTCCCTCCTTCCCAGTCCCTCTTCGACAGAGGATAGGAGGGTGGCTACAGGGAGGAGGGCCCAGGCAGGTCCAGAAGGGAGAAGTACATGGCACATGCCCTCGCCCTGCCTCCTGCCTTCCAGGACCTCTACCACCAGTCCTACGAGTGTGTCTGTGTCCTGTTCGCCTCAGTCCCAGACTTTAAGGAGTTTTACTCTGAATCTGACATCAACCATGAGGGGCTAGAGTGTTTGAGGCTGCTCAATGAGATAATTGCTGATTTTGATGAGGTGACAACTTCAAGGGTCCCCCAGACCCTAGTCCTGGATTCTAGAATTGCCCACCAGTTCCTCCTTCTACTTTGCTTTTCTGGCCATGAGGCCCATCCTCCCCTCCCCAACCCTCCCACTCCTCCTCCAGATTCCCCAGCTCTGCCCTCTCCAGCAGTTCTGCCCACTACCCACTCTCCCTCCTGCCACCATCCCTGGTCCTTTAGCCTCCAAAGGCCTGGGGCTGGGCTTCTGGGAGAGAGGAGGGAGTGAGCAGGGAAGACTGGGGACACAGCCTCCTCCCTATACAGCTGCTCTCCAAGCCCAAGTTCAGTGGGGTGGAGAAGATCAAAACCATTGGCAGCACCTACATGGCAGCTACAGGCTTAAATGCCACCTCTGGACAGGACACACAGCAGGTACAGCATCCATTCCTTGGCTACAACCCTCATCTGGGCTCTCTCTGGTGGGCCCATAAGTGGGCCTTATTTCTGTGCCCACATTGACTCATCCTGGTGGGCTGGCCCATTGCCAGGATGCTGAACGAAGCTGCAGCCACCTTGGTACCATGGTGGAGTTTGCGGTGGCCCTTGGATCTAAGCTGGATGTCATCAATAAGCACTCTTTCAACAACTTCCGCTTGCGTGTGGGTGAGGACCCTCCCTGACTGGGGCAGTCTGGAACCTGCTCCTCAACTTTCCAAGCTTTCCTTCCCTCAAGTCCTTTGTTAGCTGCTCCCTAACTCCCACACCCCTCCAGATTCAGCCATGGGGATGGAGCATAGAGCTGCTGGGCCAGGAGCTATGGAGCTCACTCACTCCCTTCCCTAAGCCACACTCATCCAGCTGCAAGCTGCTTTCCTCTGAGGCCACCAGGCCTTTCACCCTAGTTCCTTGAGCTTCCTCTTCTCCTATCCCTCTCCAAATTCCCCCCATTCAGGGCCTCCCTTTGCCACACTTATTTTCAGGGTTGAACCATGGACCTGTAGTAGCTGGAGTGATCGGGGCTCAGAAGCCACAGTATGATATCTGGGGCAACACAGTGAACGTGGCCAGCCGCATGGAGAGCACAGGAGTTCTGGGCAAGATCCAAGTGAGGGAGCCACGTAGGAGGCATAGGGGCAGGGGTGTAAGGATAGGGCCACCCCCATACTCCCTCCCCACTCTCCAATTGCAGGTGACTGAAGAGACAGCCCGGGCCCTGCAGTCATTAGGCTACACCTGCTATATCCGGGGAGTCATCAAGGTCAAAGGCAAAGGGCAGCTCTGCACCTACTTCCTCAACACAGATTTGACACGAATTGGACCTCCCTCAGCCACCCTGGGCTGAGACCTCCCACCCAACCCCTTCTACATCTAAGATCCTCAGTAAAGAGACTCTCGTATGTCCAGAGCCAACTGATGTTACAGCTGCAGGTATCACTGGGGATCACCTTCTCCTTGCCTCTCAGCAGGACAGCTTCTTCCCAGGTCAAACTGAATGTATGGGTGCAAGTGTGAGCATGATGTGTTTGAAAGGGGTGTTTCTCTCAAACTTATGAAGACTGCCTCAGCCTTTCCGCCTGCTTGCCAGCCTGATTCCAGTAGTTTGTACACCACAGAAGCATAAAGAATTTCAGCCACATGACTCAAAACAAGGATATGTCCTTTTCTGCTCCCTACCCACAAATACTGGAGGGAATCTCCAGGAAAATGTCATTTCATCTTTATTCATTCAACAGACACTTACATAAGCACCTATGACATGCTTACTTTGCAACATGAGCGAGAGGCCTGGGTAGTAATCTATTAGGTCCCTCTGTGTTTTAGCTGCCTTTTCCAGATTGACCCACCATGCTTTCCAGTGAGGACCTGTAGACAGTTTCAGGGTTCTCCTGGTCTCAGGTCTCTCAGATGCCCCCTTGCTTCCTTCTGCATCTTTCTGCACAGATGATGATATTATGTGGGTCTTGAAGCATCCATGATTCTTTCCCACCTACTCATATTTTAGGGTCCATGGGGGATATCTTGACACCTTAGGTTGTTGCAGATTTTGCACATGGATCTTTGGTTTTTCTTCTAGTTGCTCTTTCTTTTTTTATGCAAGAGATGCAAAAAGTACACTGCTATCACTGCTACTACATCTTCCTATAAAAGGCTGTCAGAACAGAGCCAGTCAAGGCTAGGACTAGTCGGCCCTGGGGAAGAATGACTCATCCCTCTCACTTTTGGGAATCTTTGCTTCCTAAGGGTGACCATGATCACAGAAGGCCCTCAGCCCCACCCTGTGCCAGAGTATGTTTTACGGGCTGGAGGAATGCTGATGTGCAGAATTCTAGAGGGTAAAATCTGATGACTTGGTTCTCAAGTGTGGCCTCCTTGGGAGATGGAGGAGAGGAAGGCAATCCCCTCAAATGTCTTCCGCCAGGAGGACGATTACTGGCAGGTAGTTGTAGTCATGCCAACAATGATACCTACCACAGGCTTCAGGGCAGAGGTCCCACAGCAGTGCTAAATTTTCGCAGAAGACCAGCTAAGTCGGGGAGTCTGAAGTGATGAGTGCACTGTGTGCTTCTGTAGTCAGCTCCTTCAGGAGCCTGCATACCTGTGTTGTTCACAGTATGATCTGCAGACCTTCTACCTCAGGGGGAGGGAATTTCTATGCCTGGTTTCTATGTCTGTCTTTGGTCCCTCCCCACACTGAAAATGATGAGAAATTAAAGGATGTGCCTCTCCATTACTGAGAAGGACCCCTACAAGGACTCCCAGGATCACCCCTATCCTCCATAATGCATACAATGCATACAACCCCAAACACAGGGTTGGCCCAATTTCAGATTTAGGTTTAATTGTAAAGCGGCGTGGGAGTCAGGCTCCCCCTCTGCCCATACTTGCCCCTCCCCTCCCTCTTCTCTCCACCCCCAGGCCCGTGCTCCTCCTTGGGGAACAGAATTGGGTCAGGTCCACTTGGGGACGCTCTGCAGGAGGAAAACGAGAGTCCTTCCCCACCACTAGTGCCCCCAGTTCAGTTGCTTCACTCGGTACTGTTGGTGCAGGCAGCGAGGCTCTCGGTGGGTCCAGGCTCAGGACAGGCGCGGACATCCCGCATCGTCTGGCCCACGGTGCCCCTGTGGCGGGTGCTCAACGCCTCGGAGCCCGTGCCCTCCAACAGCTTGGCAACCCAGCCCACGCCGGCTGAGCGCAGCAGGCCACCGCCAGCGCACGCGTACAGCACAGGGTTCACGCTGCTGCTCAGGAAGGCCAGCGCGATGAGCACTTGGCGGGCCAGGTACAGCCGATGCCCGGTAGGCCCGGACTCAGCGGTCCTGCCGGCCAGCAAGCGGCCGGCCTGCGCCAGGTTCACCACATGGTAGGGTAGCCAGAAGGCCGCGAAGGCCAGGATGATGAGCGCCACCAGGCGGCCGGTGCGGCGGCTGCGGCGGAAGCGCCGGGCCTGCAGCCTGCGCCCAATGTCCGAGTAGCTGACCACTACGGCCAGGAAAGGCAGCAGAAAGCCAGTGAAGGCCTCGAAGAGCAGATGAAAAGCCTTGTGTCCTTCGCTGGGGTACTTCAGGAAGCAGACCAGGCTCCTGTTGTTTGGTCTCAAGGTTAACTTGCGGTACACGATGACGGGTATGGCCAGCAAAACGGACACCCCCCAGATGCCTACCAGCACCCAGCAGGCAATCGCCTTGGTGCGCAGCTTCTGGGATATAAAAGGGCGGGCCACTGCCAGTGAGCGGTCCAGACTCATAGCCATGATCAGCAGGACACTGGCATACATGCTGACTCCACAGATGTAGTGGAACAGGCGGCAGCCTGCCAGTCCAAAACTCCAGGTGCCTTGGGCCAGGAAGTGGAGGAAAAAGGGGGCAGTGAGCAACACAGCCAAGTCAGCCAGAGCCAAGTTCAGCACCAGCAGGGCAGTGACAGAGCGCTTCCGCATCTTTACCAGTATGCTCCACACCACAAAGCTGTTGCCAGGAAGGCCCACAGCCAGTGCCACTGACAGTAGGATGATAGCCAGCAAAGATATGAACATGTCACCTGGAGAAGAGGGGACTGCAAGAGATGTAGAGTTTATGGCCATTGAAAGGACCTGGAGAGTGAGGGCAGACAAGCACATGAGGGTGGGGGACTAAGGGTTTCCTGACACCCTGGACACACCTAGCCTAAATAGTCTGTCCCCAACATCAGAAGCATCAGATGCACCTCCCCAGGATACTGCCCTCATCACTAACAATGGGCCTGTCTTAAGGGGATCTGGCTGAGTAGAAAAACTATTTCCTAACTGGGCCATGGGGCTCCTTCCTGCCCACAGACCCAATTGCAAAATACACAGCAACTGTAGCAGCACTATTTCCAGACCCCTTCAGCTTCCTTTCCTTCTGAAACTCAGAACCGGACTGGGGATCTTTCCTTGCCAATGCTGTACCCCGTAAAAGGCTAGCTCCTCTGTCCTCTGCCAGACCCTGAGTCCTCTTACCCCCCTCAGTTCCACTGACTTCCTCTAATCACCTGTGCACTCTCCTCAAGATGCCCACGGTCCACAAGCAGTAACAGGAGCCAGAGACAGTTTGTGGACAGGAGACAAATCCTCCCAAATCCTTTTAACCACTGCTCCTCAGGTGTCTTCGGAAATTCTTTTGCATCTCCTTTCATGGCTGCACCTTGCCCCACCATCATCTCCCCTGATCCCGGGATACTTACAGGCTTTACCAGCTACTGGTTGGAAGCTGGTGCCAATCCCAGACACAGGGCAGAGTGGTGTAGCCTTCCCTAGGTCTGTCCTATTTCCAGGGGGCTGGACCCTGGTCCGGGTGCCTTCGGCTAAGTCAGCCAGAGAGGAAGTGCTAAGAAGCAGGGGAGGGGGAAGACACATCTTCCTGAGGGTGGGGCTGAAACTCCTATCTCCTCCCTTCACTGGGAGGGGGGATAGTCTGTGTGTTCCTGAAAAACCCAGCAGGTAGGACTCCTCAGGGGTGGGGTCAGATGAGCTTGGCCCTGGAAGGGGCTGTGAGAGAGGAAAGAGGGGTGAGGGGAGTGAGTAGGCCCGGGTGTGGCCTCAGGTGCAGGTCCAGACTGGAGAATTGAACAAAGTAATAATTTATGTCATACCGGAGCAGAAGGGAAGGAATTCTGCCAGAGAGGGCTCAGATTGAGAGGCCCAAATGTTGAAGCATCTTTACATTTTGTGGGAACAATATAGATTTTTAGACTAATACGAAGTATAGGTTGGAGCTGCAGCTAGGTTCTGGATTTGGGTTAGGTAACATGCCTTAAAGACAGCACCCTAGTTTGGCTTGGGTTCAAGTCATGAGCAAACTTGGGGGCAGAGGGCCCTCTTCCAGCACCCTTATCCCTCTCCTCAGTTAAAAGGATTAATTCCATTCTAGGCCAGTCAATACTCCTTTCCCTTTGGTAGAAGCCAAAATCCCTTCCATAGAATGCCAATTTCTTCCCCTTCCCACATCCACTTGCCTCATGATTGCCCATGTGGCTACCCTACCCCATTAGTTTGGATTTAAGATCTGGGCACTGGGCAATGAGGTTAGCACCATCTCTTTCCTAACTTCCCAAAGCCAACTTTCCAGTCCAACCCTAGACAGACAGAAAAGAGTAGAGGCTGAGCATAGGAAGCAGGCATGAAGGAGTGGGGGCAGTGATTCCTCATGCTTGCCCTGCCAACAGAGGAAACTAAGAATGTGGAAAGGGAAACAGCCCCCAAAAGGGTCACTCTTTGCCTCCCCCGGAAGGAGGGCAATCTCTTGAACTCTCCTGCAGAAGTTAATAACTGGAAAGGTTTTCCTGAAATCTGACCATGAGCCTTCTTTCTTCCGTTTCAAAGGTATAATGGTGTTCACTGAGGTCCCTTACTCTTAGTAGTATGTCCCCTCCCTTTCTCTGCTTTGAGAAAAGCCAGAGCAGAGCGGACCCAGTAGCTGTCAGGCAGAGGATGTGATGAAAAGAAATTAGTTGAAACCACAGCAAAAAGGCAGAGCTGAGGAAGAGCTTTCTGACCACAGAGGGTGAGTGAGGCGGGGGATATGTAACAGAGGAAGTTAGGGAGCCTCTGTGGGTGTATGAGGACAGGAAGAAGCCCCAGTAGTTGGTGTTTGTGGGTAAAAGTTTCTGGATCAGGGCTCTGGAGTCAACCAGAGGTCCCTTCTGGTAGAAACTGGGTTGTCTTTGCCTCCTTTCCCAAGCTGCTCCCAACCTCCACCTATCTCAATGTCCTTTCTTCCTCTGCCCAGGCTGGGCACTCTAACTATACTCCCTGCCCCCCACATGCAGAGCTCCACCCCAACCCCAGTTTTGGTGACATTGGCATGACCCTGAGAACTGGATTTCCTTTGCTCTCTTTTGGCATCTGCCTGGGTGGTGCAAACAGTCATTAAAACAACATGGAGTGATAGGGTGATCACTCAGGTAACCAGCCTCTAAGTTTGCCAGGGACTGAGGGGACTGGAACAAGAAACTTATGGTGCTAAAGCTGGAACAGTCTTGGGCAAACTGGGATGAGTTGGTCACCTCTGAGACTACATGGGTGTGCACATGGACATCCCCTAAAAAGAATCCCATCCTACCTCCCCAAACTCTAGAGTGTCAGGATCCAGACCGGTTTTAAGACCCAGAGATAGATTCCAAGAAGATGGGGGCTGAGAAGTACTGGGGTGGGGATGAGGAACAGCTAGCAGTGTTGGAGGAATCAAGAAACAAAGACGAAAAAGAGAAAAGAAAAAAGAGAAAAAGGAGAGATGGCGCTTCCCTGAAAGTCTTCCTGTCTCCCAAATATCCATACTGTTCCCCACACCTCTTCATCCCCAATCCCCAACCATCCCCTGGGTGAGCAAGTATCTTCTCCTGGGCTCCTTTTTGACTCAGGTGACCTTTTGGGGTAAAGGTAGATTCAGAAAGGAAGGACTCCCAGAGCCCCTCTCCCACAGAATCAACCCCAAGACAGGAAAACTTTCCTTTCAAATCCCACAGATTGACTTTCCCCTTTCAGAACCAATTTTCCCACGCTGGGCTCTTACAGAGACCCTAGGGAATGGATTCCATCCACCCTTCATCCAAGCACCCATACCTTTCCTTCCTCTTTCTCCCTTTATTTCCAGAGTGTTTCTATGAGTTGGCCTGGGGAAACCAGGCCACCCAGACTGGAGAGAACAGGCCAAGATGCCCCTGAAGGCTGGCACTGCCCAGCTCGGCCTGAACTAGGCAGGAACCAGACAGCTTCAGCACAGCACAGGCACAATGAGCCACCAGGGGAGCATACCTAAGCCATCATAAAAGGGCTGCCCAGGGTATTCACAATATTGGCACATGGGCATCTGCCAACCTGCAAGTACATGATACCCATCAACATGTACCACCACCACCTGCAATCCCTCGGTTTGGAGAAAACTGGGCCCTGCCCCACATATGTAATAATTTTGCCCAGACAGATCCAAACTGGTCAGAGGAGGATCCCTGCATGTTCCAGAGTGGTCTCCTGGGTTGGGGAGTGTGGGGCTGGGGGGCTAGGGGGGGGCAGTGGAGATAGAAAGGGACGGGGAAGGGCAGACCCAGTTGTAGGGTTTGGCATCAAGGGTCCCATCCTTGACTGTCCTTCCCTGCCCCTCCCCCAGGGTCTCCATTGCCCCGGCCCTGCCCCACCACTTTGAGGCGAGGGGTAGCTCGAAGCTCCATGGTCCCCTCCCTAGAGCGCCCACCCCCGCGGGCCTCTCCTGAGCCCTCAAAGAGCCGTGTGAGGAAGCGGGGACCTGCCCGGGGCAGCAGATCCCCGGCAGTGAAGACATAGAGCACCGGGTTGACGCTGGAGCTGAAGAAGGCCAAGGCCGTAGTTCCAGCTCTCGCTGCCTGGCTGGCACCACCGAACCTCGCCAAAGCGCCTTCTGGCGGAGCCAGTGCGGCGACCACCTGAAGAATGTTGACCACGTGGTAGGGGGCCCAGAGCAAGCCAAAGGCGAGCACAATGGCGCTCACCAGCCGGCCCACCCGCGTCCCGTGCCGCCTGGTGCCCCAGTGGGCGCCCCGCAGCCGCACCAGCGTCACGCTGTAACAGCCGAGCACCAGCCCAAAGGGAAACACGAAGGCAGTCAGAGTCTCCAGACTCAGGTGGGCAGCAGCGTGGGCCGGCGACGGGTGGCACAGCTGGCACACACGGTCCCCCCAGAGGTGGCGGTAGACGGCGGCCGGGAGGGCCAGCAACAGAGCGGCCAACCAGACCGCAAGCAGCAGGCGGCGGGCCAGAGCCGGGCTGCGCAGTCGCGGCGCCAGAAAGGGGCGGGTGACGGCGAGGCAACGCTGCAGGCTGAGCAGGCTGGTGAGCAGGACGCTGGCGTACATGCTGAGCGCGCACACGTAGTATACGGCCTTGCAGCCCGCCTGGCCCAGCGGCCAGGCCTGCCCCATCAGGAAGGCCACGAAGAGCGGCGTGAGCAGCAGCACTGCGCCGTCAGCCAGCGCCAGGTGCAGCACAAGCGTGGCTGCTAGCGGTCGCCCCCGTGTGGGCCGCCAGCCTAACAAGCTCCACACTACGAAGCCATTGCCCGGCAGCCCCAGCAGCGCCGCCAGCAGCAGGAAGGTGGTGCCTGTGACCCGCGAGGCCTTCCAGCTCAGTAGGGTCTCGTTCCCAGGGGGACGGTAGCAGGCCGACATCCTTCTGCGCCTACGGGGAATTGGAAGGGGCCATTGAAGGCATTCAGGGCAAAAGCCCATGGTTACCCCTTATGCCAGGTGGGAGGGGGCTGTGCCTTCTCTCACTTCCCCTGCAGCCTGTCTCTCCATCTGGGAGCCTCGACTCACTTCCCTGAGGGCCTTAAGCCCTGATACACTTCTTGGAACCGAAATGCCCTGCTCTCTGTCATCTGACCTCCCCAGTCTTGACTCCCAGCCGGTTCTACCTCCACCTCCACCCCTCTAGTCCGGCCCCTCCTTCTTCGTCCAGCGAGTCCTTATACTTCAGGGCGAAAGTGAATAGATCTACTTACCCAGCTAGGAGATAGTAGGCTTGTGGGCTAGCAGGTGGCCTGGTGAAGCAGAAAGGCAAAGCAGCAGTGAGCAAGGTGACACTCCTTCCTACGCCTATGAGGTTGGCGAGTGTGAGCGAGAATGGGGAGGGACAAGGTGGGGCTCCTCTTGGGGGAAGGGCCCCTCCCTTACGATACTCCTTCCCATCACTAACACATCCAGGCATGTGAGATCCTGCCTCCCAGGAAACAGGGTAAGATGAACGGGTACAGATAAGGTTCCCTGGTCCTGTATATGAGTAGGGACACTGCTGAATCCTGACCCTGGGTCCTGCTTCTGCCCATATCCCTCCCCCAGTCCTGGTCCCAGGCATCCCAATCCCACAGCCCTGTGCTCTCTGGCCTCCTTGGACTGCACTCAGCAGAGAGGGTGACCCAAACTACTCATCCCCCAACTGCTCTATCTTTGCCTATTTCCAGACTCCTGACCCTGATGAGCCCCCCTTTTCCTCAGCTTCCCATCTACCCTTCTCATCCCTTGCCTTAGGTCCTGTCCCAGCCATTCCACCCCCAGAGCTCTCACTGGGATGTCAATGACAGCCTTCAGTATAAAGCACAAGCCTAAGTTCTGGGGGAAGAGGAGGTGCATGGAGGTGCAAGGGACTTATACCCTGGTTGAGAAATGATAACACACACCCATGAAGAGCCCACATTACCAGGCTGTACCAGCGGCAAAAGAAAGGAAAGAGTGCACTGGTGGAGACATACTGAAAAGAAGACTCCCGCACGCCTACCTCCTAGGCTGACTGAAAGGAGTAAAACAAGATGATGTATGTAAAGTGTTGTACAGATACAGAGGTTAGCCAAAGCCCAGAAATGAAGAAATTTGAGGGGCACATAGTAGATTGATAAAAGGGAATGTGAAAGGCCCCTGCCTAGTCAACAGCCTGAACTGGGGGTTCCTTGGGAGCCAGAACACAGTATTGTGTCAGTCTGGGTTCCCGCCAAAGCAGAGCCCAAGTTAAGTGCATGGGTATAGGTAATCCTGTACTGGGGAGGTCAGCTCAGAAGCAGAAATGAAGCAGCAGGGGAAGGGAAGGAAGAGGAAAGCTAGTAAGTATGTTATTGAGCCCCTTCAGAAGGCATCAGGAACCTCTGAGAAATACACAGGATGTCTTCCAGAAAAAGGGAAGACATTTATGCCCAGCTTGCATTCCCCATTCAGCGTTGTCCTGGAAGCATTAAAACTCCGCAACACACTTGCAGCTTATACTTGTTAGGCAGCTGACTGAGCTGCTTCAGATCAGACTGCCAGGCAGGAGAGCAGACTTTTGCACTCATGTAGTCGTTCACTGTCAGTGACAGTCTGAGCTTCGACCACAACTGCAGCTGAAATCTTGAGATGGGACACAGGGCATCAAAAGCTAAATTCCTGATGCCATCACAGGTTGTCTCTTTCCCCACATGCATCTTCTTCATATCCATTACATAGACAAAAGGAAGAGGTGAGAAGGTGACTGAGCAATCCACGGTGGCCTAAGCAGGCAGTTCGGGAGAAGGAAGCCAGAGGCACGTGGAGCCATCCCCTCCCCTAGATCAAGGAGGAAGCAGCAGGAAAGCTGGAAGGCCAGAGTCCCAGAAAGGTCCTGGTGATCCCGCAGCCATGGAGCAGGATCCATTCTCTCCGCATAACCCCCCTCCCCTCTCTCACTCCCCAGGTACTAACTAGGTGGCCTCACCTCCTTTACCCTAAACCCTGTCCATAATCCCCACCTCAGCCAAGCCTCCCTTTTCCTAAAGCTGCAGTTTATAGCTTTTCCAGTAGGGGAAAGCATGGCACAGTGCAAATCACATATAATGCAGCTTCTCACAGGATGGGATCCAGAAACTGTCCCTAGAAATCCCCTCCATAGAAAGAAAACCACCAGAGGTCACATTCCATCCTCTTCCATAGCTCACATTTGCCCTCACGGCACACGCCACCAGCAGACACAGGCCCAAGCAATGTGACTTTTGCCAGCAACTCTGGCCTCAATCCTTCCCCAAGACATGATCTAGGCCAATCTCCGCCCCCTCCACCTAGACTTTGCACTTCTCACCGGACAGACAAGGGGGCCAGAGTCCAGGTTGACCCATCCCCCACCTCACTGAGGCTGAGATCCAAAACACCACCCGCTCAGCCCAAGCACAGCAGAGAACCCGCCAGCCAGAACTCACAAAAAAACAACTCTCCAGCTCCTTCATTCCAGCATGGAGCACCTCTCTGCCCTGAACCCCAGAGGCTTACTCAGGTGATTTCTAACCCTCCTCCCCACCCTTCAACTCTGGCAATATGCTCAGGGCAACACACAATTCCACTTGGCACCTAGGAGACTCACGTACCAGTACCCCTTCCCCTCCCCACCCCCACTTTCCACAGCGCACCTGTACAGTTCCTGACCATCCGCTCCCCACCCCCACTCCATGGTCTCCCTGCACGACTATAATCTGCAAACCTAGATACCTCCCTCCCTCCCTAACTCTCTCATTCTGCCCCATCCTCCCCTTTCCACTACCAGGTCACTATCCTATATGAGCTCTGAGTTTGGCCGGAGGGTCTGGACCTCAGCTCCACCACCCCAGCGACCTTTCCGTGTCTGTGATCAAAAGAGGACCACTCGGAAAGGCCTGACAGCTGCCACCCGCCAGGAACTTCTAGACAAGGTAAGTGAGCCAAGTCCCTGGGCTTCTATCGCAGGGGCAGCCAAGGGGCTCAAAGGAGTGTGAAACTGGCATGAACCAAAGGGGCTGTTACATGGCTACTCCTGAGGGCTAAAAGGGGCCTCAGCCCAATGACCTCTGCTGGATTTCGGTCATTTTTTTCCCAGGGAGTGGGCTTTTCTTTGGGGACAGGGGAAGGAGTAGACAGGTAGGGTTGGAAGGACGGAATTCAAGAAGTCAGTATGGAATGGCGATTTGTATGACAAATCACGTTCAAATCCTGATGCTGCCACTTCCTAGTGTCAAACCTCAAGAACTTATTCAACCTATCAAAACTCCAGTTTCTTCACCTACAAAAAGGGAATAATGAATGACACGCCTACCTCCTAGGCTGACTGAAAGGAGTAAAAGAAGATGATGTATGTAAAGTGTTGTACAGATACATGGCACCAGTGAAGACTCAAAAATATTGAGTCAGTATTACTGAAAACAGGTCTGGAGGACTGTTTTTATAAAGGACATTATTATTGAAAAGTTCTGAGGGTGGGGCACAGTGAGGTGGGACTCTGGAGAGTAGACAGAAGGATGGACTTCAAGAGAACCTGGTTAGCTTTTCAATTCCAAACTAGCAGGAGTGGCTTGGAAGGGAGTAGGGACAGAGGACAATGACATGGTAGGAGCGAACAGGGAAACGGGTCAGCCCAACAACTGAAGAACACTAAACGCTAGAGCCGTCTGGGGGATGGCAAAGCCCCAGGAAGCAGAGTTGGGATATCAACCAGCATCAAGGGCCCATCGATGGATGCTGTGCAACTCAAGAGGGAAGAGGCACGGGATAAGCTCTGCCCCTTCCCTCCTGCTTCTTGCCACTGGGCAGGCCCTGGAGAGCCTGCTGCTGAGTGGGGAGCTCACACTGGTGCTAGAGGAGGATGGGACTGCCGTGGAGAGCGAGGACTTCTTGCAGCTGTTGGAGGATGACACATGCCTGATGGTGCTGGAGTGCGGGCAGAGCTGGAGCCCCAGCAGGGTGAGAACCCCAGACGGGGGCAGCTATAGGCCCCAGGCCCTTGACTCTCTCCCGAGCTGCTTCTCTAGCCTAGCCCTGATACAGGGGCAGACGCACGGGGAGAGGTGAGGAGTTGCCAAGGACGCCTTACAGTGGACAAAAAGTCCAGGCAGGAGTGGGCTGACTCAGTGCTGACGGGGATTAGTGGGGGGTGTCAGTGCGTGAGGGGCCATCACACAACGGGGTTCCCTACAGAGTGGGGTGCTGTCATACGGCCTGGGCCAGGAGAAGCCCAAGCACAGCAAGGACATCGCGCGCATCACCTTCGACGTGTACAAGCAAAACCCCAGAGACCTCTTCGGCAGCCTGAACATCAAAGCCACCTTCTACGGGCTCTACTCCATGAGCTGCGACTTTCAAGGACTCGGCCCAAAGAAAGTACTCAGGTCAGAGATCAACATGTCATTACATCCCCATCCCCTACGCTTGCGGTTCCTCCAGTTCCTTCTCACACACTCACCTGCCTGTTAGTTCCGCCCTATGGAAAACCCCCAGCTGCCAGCTCGAGGGCCACCTGCCAGGATGCCCCCGCTGACCTCCTCTTGTCTCTGCCCTTCAGGGAGCTCCTCCGTTGGACCTCCACACTACTGCAAGGCCTGGGCCACATGTTGCTGGGAATTTCTTCCACCCTTCGCCACACACTGGAAGGAGCGGAGCGGGGGCAGTGGCAGCACCGGGGCCGCCTCCATCCCTACTGAGAAGGGGCCCTGAGCTTCTGCACCTAGACTCATTCCAAGAGACACACTGTGAGGACTGTGACGGCATCAGCTGTGGGAACCTGCAGATGGTACACATTAGATGGCTCTCTTGATGTCCCCACTGTCCTCTGACCCCATCGTGACAGGCACCATCAGCACAGTGCCTATACCCGTTCCTGAGGAACGCTGTCTCTTCCTAGCCATCTTTTCAGCCTCCCACTTATCCTGAAAGGCCATCGGCCTGCCCCCAGGCATCTTGATCCCACCCTGATTGCTACTACATCTAGATTCCTGACAACTCCTCCTGTCCCTAAGCTCCCCAGTGCACTGAAGGCCGCCCTCTCTGAGTCAACATGAGGTCTCTATTTTGTCATACCCAACCCAAAAATAACAAAAACATTTCCAATAAAAATATTAAAATGTTTGCCACTGACACTTATGACTCCAACTTAAACTAGGAAGGGAACACAATAGATACTCCCTTTTCCCCCTCCCCTGTCAACACACAAGTCCAGATCCAAGGGCCTCAGCCTTCAAGTATTGAGTTCAAAGCCCGCCTCCGCTTGGCCACTGGCCCCTGCTGCTGTTCCCAAGCCTCTCGCCGCTTCACGAAAGTAGCCAGGGCCACGTTTCGAGCCACATGATGGCCAAAAGGGTCTCTTATCAGCTCCTGATTCCGCTCCCCTGCAAAAGGAACCACTTATGTTCAGTATCACCATGCAGTTACCCACTCATGCTCAAAGAGACTCTGCCTGGGGGTAAAGGTCCCCTCTTCCCTCCATTTTCCCTGGACCCACCTCAGGGTAGAGTTAACACCTCACTCTCCAAAGAGCAGAAGCCGAGAGGAGGGCTGGGCGCACAAGACTATACCATTAGCAGAGGTGAAGGGGAGAGCAGAACGCTACAAACCCATGGCCAAGACCACTCTTTGGAACTGAAATCACTGCTGACCTGAAGTCCACTGCCCAGCGACCCAGTTGTCTGCAGTGAGGGGAGGGAAGGTTGAAAAGAGAGGTGCTGGTGCTCACCCAGCTCAGCAGCAATTTCCTTCCGGACCCCCAGGGCAGCTCCACTCCAAATGGCATCTAGCACACGGCTGCCATGGCGACTACAGGCCAGAGCCACATATTGTCCCTGCATTGAGACAAGCAAGGGAGGTCCCTCTAGGGCACTCCACATAAGTGTGTTGGGGAGTGCAGAAGGGTGAAGTTACAAGAGTTTAGAGACTGAATCAAATAGTCTAGGAGCTACGTATCTTCTCTTTGACTCTGAAGGACAGTCCTGGGGGAAGCTCGTATTCTCTTAAATAGATAATGGTGAGGCAATCAAAGCAGAAGCCAAAAGTCTTACTTTTAGGGTCTTCAGCACACGGCGGCGCTGTCTGCACGTCACAGAGGTGCTGGTCAAGACAGCATCAAGCACATGGGAACCAGCAGGGTTCTGGGCCAGAGTCAGAAGCTGTGGTCCTGTCAAAGCACCCAGACTTCGAAGTACAAGACTAGGGTTAGAGAAGTGTAGCAGATGCTGGAGCAGCAGAGACCCAAGAACTGTCACTTCCCCGAGGGCCTTGGCTGTGGCCATTTCCATCTGGGAAGACAGAGATAAGGAATCAGGAGGTAGCCACCTTCACTTGGATGAAGTTAGAGATCTCACCACCTCACCTCAGGAGCGAGGGGATCCCTAAACCGTGGGAGGCCTGGCCCCCAGTTAGTCACTGGCTTGGCCTCTCCCCTACCTCACCTGGTGCTCCGCAGGCACTGCCTCCTCCTCCTGCATCAGTCCATAGTACACCTCGTAAGTCATCAAAGTGGCAAAGAGAGGCACACAGGCTACTTGCCGAGAGGAAGGCTCTGCACAGTGGAATGCCTACAGGAGAACACAGAACACAATGACTCTGAGAACTATCTCATCCCTATACTCAACTCTCTAGACAGGGCAAAGCATGCAGGAAAGGTAAGGATGCTCAACTACACGGAGGTAAGCTGCACGAGGGTGGGATCTCACCTGCCCCTCCGTGTCCCCAGCCGGGATCTCACCTGCCCCTCTGTGTCCCCAGCGTCTACACCCATAATGGGCTGAATGAACATTTATTCCTTAAATAACTTCTTAGTTTTGGGAGACAATTTCCATTGCAGGGCTATGATGACCTTGACCTCATTTTTCCCGGCATCTGTGAACTCCCTAGGCATTAGACCTCTTCAGTCCAGAGATACAACCACTGTAGATTAGGTAAGTCCAAACAGGTAGAATTAGAACTGAGGGCATGAATGCTTTTGGGCTAACACCCACTCACCTCCAACAACAGCTGCAGGACCTGGGCTTGGAGGGCCCCAACTCTGCGGCAGGCTCCCACCAGGGCAATGACTACCCCTGGGCGACCCCGGGCCAGAACAGTTTCCAAGGCAGGGCTCAGCTCCTCAAACACAGGGGACAGCTGAGGGGAAGCATGGAATGAAGAATCTTTGGCAGTCTGCTATTAGGAGGCTAAGTTATTCATAGATGTTTTGCTGCCAGAAACAACTGAAAATACTAAATAAAACAAAAGCACTGCCAATATCAGGACTTTGGTTTGGCTGGATAACATCCATGACAAGGGGATCTCAGAGGATGAGGACTAAACCTGCCCCTTCACCGAACTCCCCACCCGGGTGATCATAAGAAGCATGCCTGGTGCCAAGTAGCAGAAGAAAAAGAGAAGCTACGGCAGCCGCTCCAGCACTCATGGATTTGTTAGCCTGGTACCCAGAACTCGAGTGGGCTGTGGAACCTCAACCTGTGCACTGATTTAAGCCACCCTCCTGCTGTTACTGGCACCTGAAACAAGCCAAAACAAATCTTTCTGGGAAGAAGACATTCACCCTAGGCTCTTGGAATGCCCCCAGGAATAACTTTTCAAGGAGACTAGTCCTCACACTAGTCCGACAGACACAGAGGTGGGCATACAATAATACATGGCCCACGGCAAAGAAACCTGAATAAACAACAGAGTAGAGAAACACATCAAGCCAGTTCTTGACTCACTAGCTCAGGGGTAGTGACAGCATCCAGTAAACGCTGAAGAGGGAAGTTGGCAATGGGATGTGCAGCCAGGGTCTGCAGCTGCCCGTGGAAGTGATCTTCAAACAGGCTCTGGAGCCTTGGGGGCTCCAACATGCGCAGCACCTGCTCCAGGAGTCTGGAGCTCGTCCGGTCCCGCAGAAATAGCAGTAGTGGGCTAGAGACAAGGAGAAGACGACCAGAAGACCTCACCCCACTTCATCCAAAATACCCACATCCCCTCGTCCATTTCACATGGCCTTAACAACATAGCTCGATCCTGAGGTGCTGACCATACCTGCCATCTGCTGAGGAATTGCGGCTACTCAGGTAGCCAATCACAGCATTGCAGAGATGGACACAAAACTGGGGCAGTTTGCGGTATAAGACCTGTAAGGCCACTTGAAGGCAGAAGCTGGAGATCTTGTCGGTGATAAATACTGCAGGGAGTGGGCAGAAATAACAAAAGCAGTGTTCCCCAAATCCAGACAACCTATAGAGCCTCAGCAATAAGGTACCAGGGACCATGGATACAAAGGGTCTACACAGAGTGTTTCCAACATCAAACCAGATCAGATTTGAAAAAAAGAGGAATAAAACTGATCTAAATAGGATGATGATAATCACCTCCAGAAAAGTAGATCCTAGACCTCCTTCTACTTCCCTCCTTACCAGCAATGTCCTTCAGAAAGCAAGAGCTTAGATCCTGAAGACGATTCAAGAAGGTGTCAGGGACTTCAAAATCAGTTGGTTTACATTCCCGAGCTGGGGCCCTTTGGGCTTCTGAAGGAAAATCAGCACATATGCAGTGGTGAGATCACAAACTACCATTCAGGAGGGGGGCAGAATTCCACAGACGAACAAGGACCCAGCTGGGAGATGCTGAACACTTATGAATGTCTCTTCTCATCTGGATGACTGAACTGAGACTGTATTTCTGTTTTAGTCTGCTTAAGGAGCTTCAACCAGCTCTCATGGTCTAAACTCTCTAACCTTATTTCCCAAGGTTTTTCAAAATGTTAGATCACAGCCAGAGTGCATTATGAAATCAACTTAGTAGGTCTCAACCATCACCTTAATGGAATAGAACAAGAATAAAATAAAAAGGAAAAGAAAATATCAGAGTGGGTTGCATGAAGTAAGGATACTATTGTTTCCTGAACTTTTGCTTGAATCCAGTATGTCTACAGATACTCTTTTTTTTTTTTTTAATATCAGAGTGGGTTGCATGAAGTAAGGATACTATTGTTTCCTGAACTTTTGCTTGAATCCAGTATGTCTACAGATACTCTTTTTTTTTTTTTTTGTATTTCTTATTCTGACTTGTGGCTTTTATAAAAAGTTTGCAATCCATTTCTCAAATGAATTACCTCTTCCTCCTGCCCCCATTCTAATAGCTGTGCCCTTAACACAGCTGTGCACCCTCACCTCTGGGCCTCTGTGCACACTTATCTTCAGCCTGCTAAGTAAGACCTGTGCTAATTTTCTTGCTAATTCTTCATGGTCATGAAAAATTACTCTTTTGCTTTGCAGAGTTCTGGACTTTCTATACTGTCCTTTCCTCAAGATCTACTCCCTGTCTTATATTACTTACCGGGTGACTGAGAGCCATGGTGCTTGGCTCTCTGAGACTCCAGAAGAGTCCCTCCTAACACCTGCAGCAGAGTTCGGACCAGGAACGTGCCATGTGTGTCTCCACAGTAGAAAAGAAAATCATCACACACCTCAGAGGCTAGTCCCAGGACCAGATCCTCCAGGTTCTCCAAGGGACCATCCTTCCCATCCTCCTCCTCGTCCTCCTCTGCAAGGCTCCCCAGCAATCGAGGCAGCTGTAGCAAAGCACTTTGCAATACATGGACGGCGCATCGATGACAGGCCACCAAGCGCAAGTTGGAGCACAGTGCAGCCCATACTCGACACAGCGGTTTCAGAGGACTGAACCCCAACAGCTCCTGCAGCATCTC